CAAAGGCCGCCGCGGCCCAGGGCGCTGCGGCCGGCGCACCACGCTGATCTGATGGCAGGAGCCAGGTACTTCTCCTGGTCTCCCATGGGGTGCAGGGCCCAAGCACTTGGGCCATCCTCCACTGCACTCCCTGGCCACAGCAGAGAGCTGGCCTGGAAGAGGGGCAACCAGGACAGAATCCGGCGCCCCAACTGGGACAGAATCCGGCGCCCCAACCGGGACTAGAACCCAGTGTGCTGGCGCCGCAAGGCAGAGGATTAGCCTAGTGAGCCACAGCGCCGGCCACTCTTCCCTGTTCTGTAACCATGACTCTGAGTTTAGCTCAAGCACTGGGTAGAAATCACTGTGTCACAATTCACCCGCAGTCCTGCGTTTGGGTAATGCAGCTTTGTTCACAATAGTTCAGTCTACAAAGAACAAGTGTGCATAAAACAGTGAATGGATTCTTTCACATTTAGACAAAGAATATTATTCAGTATTAAGAAGGAGGTTGTTCTGTCGTTAGGAAATGTGGGTCAGCCTGGAGCATACATACTAAAAGAAATGATCCAGCTAGATGTGGACACACAGTATGTGACATTAGTTATACATGCAGTACACAAGCTTGAACTCACAGAGGTAGGCAGTGCAATGGGGAAAACTGTCTACCATGATCCAAGTCAGGCTCCTGAATTTAGGCTGAGCCATCCCCAGTCTTTGCAGCCATTCAGGAAGTTAACCAGTGGATGGAATTCTCCCTTCATCTGTTGATCTCTTCCTCTCTTGCTATAACACTGTGTGGGGCTCCATGGGATGCGCAGCCATGGAGCCCCCACGTCAAGGTCAGTCTGATAGCTGTTGCTGTGTCTTTATCACAAGGCGGATGTTGCTAGTTTTGGTTAGGGCAATGCTTTCCCATGCTCGGGACTTTCCAGAGGAGTTGAGAATGTTGTAAACAACAAGATGGCACCGAGGACCGCGCAGTGAGCCTGCCTGCTGCGTGACACCTCATCTGATTGGCCCGAGAACGCGTGCACACTGCGTGAACAGACAGCAGATTGGAGTGTTCCGTGCATGGACTTGAGCCCACTTGCAATTGGCCGGATTTTGTATATAAGCTGTGTGCTGAGGAAGGAGGGGGCTTTCCTGTCCACTCTCCTCCTTTCATTCTTTCTCTGTCCCTGTTATTTTCCCATTAAAAGTCTGCTGAAGACCGATAAGCTGCGAACAGTGTCGTTCCTTTGCAGGCAAGGGAGTGGCAGCCCTGCACCCACATGGGAGACCAGGAGAAGCACCTGGCTCCTGCCTTCGGATCAGCGCAGTGCACTGGCCGCAGCGCGCCAGCCATGGTGGCCATTGGAGGGTGAACCAACGGCAAAAGGAAGACCTTTCTCTCTCTCTCTCACTATCCACTCTGCCTGTCAAAAAAAAAAAAAAAATCCAATCATTGCTAAATTGGCACCCATACTCATCTCCTTAAGCAATTCTTATACCAAAACAAGGACAATAGTAAGGTAGTAATTGCAGTTAACAAGATACAAGGAAAAATGCATGAACTTCTCCCCTAGAAAAAGAAGTAAAATCCTTGAGTGATGGTTCCTCTTTTTGATAGCCCATATCGTAAGTATTATACTGTAAAATTAATAATACTTAAAATCAATATGATATAAAGTCAATACCTCTTCTTACTAGATAGCAAGGGAATAAGAGAAGGGGGAAACAAAGATATTTGCTATAATCGCACACACACACACACACACATACTCAAGACAAAACAAGGAAGAAATACTCATGACAAATACTCTGGATCTAAGACCTCTGTGACAGCGGATAATAAAGACACAGGAACAAGCAGAGAAACTGTTGCTAGTGGACCACTAGGATAATATTGAGTGGTGCCACTCTCTCTTTCCACTTTTTGTTTAATGGATTTGAGAACCTGGCTATGAAAGACCAAGTTATATGTCATATGCTGATTACCAGCATACACAGTCTTCTTGAGAACCTTGCCCAGGACCTGGAATGTACTGCTACTTATCTGGTGTCATTTTCAAAAAGCCATCACCACTATATCAGGCTAGCTGCTTTAGGATGGTAGGTTACATTGTAATACCAGTGAGTTCCATGAGCATGGGCCCATTGCCACACTTGGAAAGTTCCCCTCCCTAACCTGGAATCAGCTGTTTAGTGTGTGTGTGTTTCTTCAAGACACTCTACATCATTATACTGAGAAACTATATTAAGACTCTGTTTAATGGTTTTCATAATTGTTTTGTTTTTGTTTTTTGTTTTTTTGCAATATGGAGAAAGGAGATGCACGTATGTTTTAAAAGGAAATACTTGGGCCGGCGCTGCAGCTCAATAGGCTAATCCTCTGCCTGCGGTGCCGGCACCCCAGGTTCTAGTCCCAGTTGGGGCGCCGGATTCTGTCTCGGTTGCTCCTCTTCCAGTCCAACTCTCTGCTGTGGCCTGGGGAATTCAGTGGAGGATGGCCCAAGTCCTTGGGTCCTGCACCCGCATGGGAGACCAGGAGGAAGCACCTGGCTTCGGATCAGCGCGGTGCGCTGGCTGCAGCGGCCATTGGGGGGTAAACCAATGGAAAAGGAAGACCTTTCTCTCTGTCTCTCTCTCTCACTGTCCACTCTGCCTGTCAAAAAATAATAATAAAAATAAAATAAAAAAGGAAATACTCTTTGAATTCAAAATGGTTATTCTCATCAAATGTAGGTTTTAGAGTTTTAGTCAAACTCTTTAGTTTTATATTTGCATTTACTTTTACTTACATCTAAACACTGTTTTCCATTTATATTTATATATTTGCTTCAAAAATAGCACACCATATAGATCAATAAATACACATATTTTAAGATCTTTGCAAGTAGTTTTACCTTGATATATACACATGGGGGTGTGTGTGTGTAAACATACATAAAGTCAAAATTTTGCAGTTTCATTTTAGTTGAAGTATATATATCCTTTCCACACAGAGGATTCAAATTGGATATTCTATCAGGTTTAACATTTGAATTTTGTGTTTTTATACACTTGATTTTAATTTGACTCGGTTAAATAAAATACTAACATTTCTATAACAAAACCACATAAGTTTTTTTCTTAAGTGACTAGTTTGACTTCTGCTCCATTCTGTATATGTCATATGCCTGTATTTTTATTCTGCCACAGTTGGAAAAAATTAGCATAGCCTATACAGTTGTATATCCGGCTTTTCAGTTCAGAATTCATCAACTTGGTAACTAGTACGTAGACAACCTTCTGACTCTATTAACAGATTTGGAAAACTTGCTATGCATATGGATCATAAATCTCTCATCAGTTCACAAAGATAGACATGTAAAACTGTCTCCAAGTAGAATGTTCAAGAACAGCACTCAAGAACGTTCAACACCCAAAAGCATACATACTCACTGTACATTTAAACTAAGGCAGTATGTGTTAGGTTTAGCATTGCAGGTTACTAAGCTTGGTAATGGTCACTTCTATTTCTGTTTGTTAAACTACCATTCCTTTGACTCCAATCCACTAAGGAATTAATCAGTTTCTTTGCTCTGGTGGATATTGATATGATGGCTTTTGCCAAGTTGGAAACAGGATTCTCTTCCTCACTCAGCTGGGAGTAAGATCCCTGAAAATTCTGTCCTTTGTCTTCACAACTTCACCTTCCTAACTGGACACAATATGAGACTCAGATGTTGCTCTCAATCAACCGGTCTCAGCCAACTCTTTGAAGTTTTTCTCCAATGGGATACTTCACACAGAGGCAGTTTGAAGGTCAAAATATTTCCTGGTGAGGCTGATGCAAATTTCCATTTTCAGAGCGGCCATTTCCCCCTGCCTCCTCAGTGAGTGGCTTCCTTGCCATTAAGCTTTGCACCATTTTCTCGATGCGAATGCAACTTAAAATCCCCGAGTGTGTTAGCCTGTGTAGGTTTTTTTCTCCTTAGTCTTGCATCTCTCTGTAATTATGGTTTGTTCCCTATCAAGGGAACAGCAAAAACCTTTAGTATGAAACCAAATTATGACAGGCGGTCATGGCTCAATCCAGGTTAGATTCTGCAAAGCTTCTAGTTTTATTTCTATCCTTCACACCCGATTTCCTATTTGGAGATGCATGTTCTGAGACAGTGTCTCCATGATCTTTTTCCTGTATAAAGAAAACATAGAGCGCTCCGAGCTCTCGTCGCTTCTGTCTTCCCAGAGTAACCCCTGGTGAGCTATTTTCCTCCACGCACCAAAGCACTTCCATTCAGTGGGACCACGTATGCCCCGAAGTTGCACTTGGAAGGGACAGCACCGGCTGGGTGCGAAGGGGAATGGGGTGGAGAGAGACCTTGGAGGGAACTGCAGACCTCACAATGCCCAGGTCTGAAGCTGGCTCAGGCGGTGGGGCAGTGGAGCGCCAGGTCCAGGGAACGCGCCTGCATCTCCAGTCTGAGGACACTCCCTGGGAGCGGGTCTCCCTCTCCTTCTCAGCGTCGGAAGCCGTCGCGGGTCGCACGGAGACACCCGGGCTCTCTAGGCAGGAGGGGAGCCCCCGACTCGCCCCTGCCGGGAGGCGAAGCTCGTGCAGACCCTGCTCAGGGAGGAGACTCAGAAGGCGAAGGCTGGGCTTTCGGCCCCGGGGCGAGGTACTGGGAGGGGGCTCAGGACATTTCGCCGCTGCGCTTTTGGACTCCAGCTCCAGACTGGCCACGACGACCCCCGTCAGTTGGCGCCGGTGAGGGCCAGCCTGCCCCTCTGTGCGCGGACCCCGGTGGGGATCGTCCCCTGACCCGTCTCCCACGCACCTGCCAGTCTGGACCCGGCCCGCAGGCAGGATGCAGCCGGCCAAAGCAGCCCCAGCTGCAGCCTCTGGGACTCAGCGATCCGGCCGTGGAGCGCCCATCGCCGTGGAAACCACATTACCCACAATGCCTCGAGTCGAGTGGCAAGACGCTAAGCCAATGAGCGCTCGGGAAAGGGTCGTTTCCGTGTTTGGACCGGAAGTCCTGTCAGGACGCCGTCACCGCGGCTAGGGCTGTCAGTGTAGCTGCGCTGGAGTGCGTCTCCGCCGGCAGGTGTTGCAGAGCGCGAACGCCGGGTCAAGGTGACGAGGGTGGGAAGGCGCGAGGGAAACCCGTCGCCATCGCACGGCGGCGGGAACGACTGTGCTAACGGTCCTCACGCCTCTCCCGCTGCTTTCCCTCTCCGCCTTCCTTGCCCCTATCTCCCGCTAAGTCTCCCTCAGCCTCCGGTGCCTCTCCGCCCGGAGTCCGATGGCGGCGGCCGCGCTGAGGGACCTTGCTCAGGTAAGCCTTGCCCTCACTCTCACCCACACTCTGACTCCCTGAGTGCCTGCTCAGGTCCCTGCGGCGCAGGCGCTGGGGTCCAGAACGGTCACGTTCTCGAGGGCGGGGTCCCTGTTTCTGATAGCCTGTGCGGGAGGATTTGACAGGGAGAGGGGTGGGTGTATGGAGTTAGGCGTGGCAGATTCCCCACAGCTGCGTACAATTAGAACAGCCTGGAAAGGGGGATAACAACACTGCACAAGAAAGAGTCAGCACAGAGATCATTCGGGCATCCGAAGTCGCGCAGCCCCAGGGCTGGGCAGGCTAGCAGGCATGCCTGAGTCCACAAAGCCGCCACCAGGGTTACCTGCTCCTCACAACTTTCTTTCTGCAGATTCCCGTGACTGCAAAGGCGCTTATGGACTGCACTCAGGTGAGCGGATGATGTTCCAGGGCCTCGCTGGTGTCACCCCACTCTTTCCTCTGGAGCCATGTCCTAGTACGCTTTGTCTGCCATTCTTTGACACCTTGGGCCTGGGAACCCTGCAGAAACCGCCCATCATGGAGCATAAATCCATAAAGTGTATCGGTTATGTGGAGTGGTTTCTAGTGCGACTCTTGGCAACCAGTGGGATAAGAGATACGTAAGTCCCCAAATGTGTGGGTTCTTGGAGTTAACTCAAGAACCCAATGTTTCCTTTCTCATGGAAAATTAGAGCAGAGGGCAGAAGTCAGGCCTGGAATGTTGAATGTCTGTTCTGGAGATGGTGGGAGAAATGGGAGGTTGAAGCAAAAGATGAGGTGATCTGACACAAGTCTTATCAGACACCCTGTGCCTGCAGCAAGAACAGCCTATGGTGTGAATGAGGTGATGGGAAGCCAAGAGAGGGCGGGAAGAATCAGCATGTTCCTCAAGTTGTAATTATGGAATGTACGAAGTTTGTGTTCCTTAAGTAAAAGCCTCCTGGAGGTGGAAAAAAGTCAAGGAAGGAGGCTACTGCATAGTCCTGATGAGGGTTGATGTGACTAGAGCAGGCAGTGGCCAAATGGTTGGATTCTGGATTGATTATTAATTAGGTGTGCATAGGATTTTGCATTTTGAGAGTGAGAGAGTAGTTGGATGACCTCAGCATTTTTGATTTTTAGCACCCAGAAGGATGGATGCTCCATTAACTGGGATGTTAAAGTTGGTAGTAGGATTAATTTTCATTGGGGATATAAGGAGTTTTGTTTTTGACTTTCTGAAGAGTGAAATGTGTTAGAGAGCAGTAGTGGAGATATCTGGTAGCTAGCCACAAAAATACGGAACTCTGGAGAGGAATTGAAAATGAAGGCATCCAAAAGTTGGTGAATGATGTCTGCCTTGGGGTATAACTTGATTCACACATAGTAAGGGGAATCTTGCTCTTGATTGTAATGCTATTAGAATCCCAGAAAAGTAAGGTCAGGATACAGAACTGATTCTCATGCTTGGGCATCTGGGTAGAGTTTATGAATATCACAAACATAGCCAAGGGAGTGAAGTAGCTGTCAGAATGGTATGAGAAAGTGGGGCCGGCACTGTGGCTTCACTGCAGTGCTGGCATCCCTTGTGGACACCAGTTCGAGTCTTGGCTGCTCCACTTCTGATCCAGTTCTCTGCTATGGCCTGGGAAAGCAGTAGAAGATGGTCTAAGTCCTTGGCTCCTATGCCTGCATGGGAGACCCAGAAGAAGCTCCTGGCTCCTGGCTTTGGATTGGCCAGCTCCTGCCATTGTGGCCATCTGGGGAGTGAACCAACAGATGGAACTCTCTCTGCCTCTGCCTCTCTGAAACTCTGCCTTTCAAATAAACAAATAAATTTTATGTTTTAAAGAAAGTGGATGATCTTGTAGATGGCCGAGTTTTCTGAGTTATGCAGAAACATATTAATTGAATCAAGATGACACTGCAGCCAGTTGTAGTCCCTGTTCACCAGGCTTTTGACTCACTGTGATCTAGAAGTGACCCTGGGTGTGTCTGGGGAGTTTCAGACTGGTGGATTAGCTCAAGGGAACAAGTGTTCACTTGGAAGAGTCACCAGTTCCGGAGTGGAGGACCTCTAGGGCTAGGTGTTGAGTGATAGTTAGCTGGAGAGAGGGAGTCTGTAACCACTTGGGTGGTTCTCAATGGCTAAGGCTGAAGCAAGGAATAGAGTCAGATAAGGAGGACTTCTAGAGCAGGATACTAGTAGGAACCATCAGACGTCTGGCTAGCGTTTGATCCTATCTCTTTTCCAAGCTCTCTCTGGATGTGCTGTACCAAGTATTGCTGGGAGACCAGAGGAATGCCTGTAGTGTGGAGCAGGGGAGGGGAAGTAGCTGTAAGAGTGAGACTGTGTGAGGAAGATGTAATCCAAAGAGAAATATATATACAGAAAGGGAGTGTGAACTTACGGCTCTAGGTCAGTGGCATTCAAGACATAAGGATGAAAGACAAGCCTCTGTTTAATTGTGTCCAGGAGATACAACCAAGGGAATCTGGGGCTAATTATCTGACAAGAGGGTCCAGCTGTCTGTTGATGCTGGGGGAAGCCATGGTGATCAGTGGGACTGTGGCCTGGTATCTTTTCAGAGGTGGTGAGATGGGAAAGAGAGTGAACAGGGGAAGTGTATGTGAGAGGAAGAATTTATAATCCCAGGAGGGAAGTTAATCCTTGAATGATCTGTCCCCATCATGACAGGGCTGTGTGACCTTTGAAGACGTGGCCATTTACTTCTCCCAGGAGGAATGGGATCTCCTGGATGAGGCTCAGAGACTCCTATACCTGCATGTGATGCTGGAGAACTTTGCACTTTTAACCTCACTGGGTAAGGCCCTCACACCGACTCTTGGTTTTTGTGTGTCCTCTTTTCTTCCTTGGCAGCTCTGCCACTTCCACAGCCAGACCACGGACTCTACGAACTTCCCTATTTTATTTTATTTAATTAATTTCTTTATTTTTAATTTTTTGACAGGCAGAGTTAGACAGTGAGAGAGAGAGACAGAGAGAAAGGTCTTCCTTCTGTTGGTTCACCCCCCAAATGGCCACTATGGCCAGCGCACTGTACCGATCAGGAGCCAGGTGCTTCCCCCTGGTCTCCCATGCGGGTGCAGGACCCAAGCACTTGGACCATCCTCCACTGCCCTCCCGGGCCACAGCAGAGAACTGGACTGGAAGAGGAACAACCGAGACAGAATCCGGTGCCCCGACCAGGACTAGAACCCGGGGTGCCGGCGCCACAGGCAGAAGATTGGCCTAGTGAGCTGTAGTGCTGGCATCCCTATTTTATTGACTTGTGTTCTGTGGGTACCTGTCTATTGCTGTGAGCAGCCCTCTCTGTTATTAGCCATAACATCTACTGCTCTTTAAAGCATTCAGAGAAAGATCTTAATGGCGCGTGTCTTATGAGCCTACTGGCTGTCACCTTCTGTGTCCTCTCCCTGGTTGGGTGACTATGTCCAGGTCCATGATATCTTTTGCCCCTAGTTCTTTCTCTTCTTGCTAACATTTCAACATAGCTACCTGTTAAGAATTGCAAGTATTGCCATGCTTGGTTTTTATGGAGAGGATGGACTGTTTTTCCAGACTGTTCTTCCAAAATTTTTTTTGATACTATTTTTTTTCTCTTGATCTATTAAATACTGAACTGCTTTGAGCCACTGCTCACCACTTAGCTTCCCTGTATTTTCTGAGGACTTGCATCATTCAGGTCCCATGTAGCTGAACAACTGGGGCTATGGTGATAGTCCTGGTTACTTCATAGGGTAGACATGCACAGTGATCTCCAAAGAAGGCTGGCCCTGGTGTATGAAAGCTGGGGGGAGACATGAAGTAAGGGCTATGTTCAAATCACACCAGGAACCTTCAGTGTATCCAATAGGGCTTTGTATGCAGTAGGGCTTTGGCTTTTTATTCCTGGCACTTGGTCAATTTGTCATTTTATCTGTGACTTCTGGTTCGTGGCTCCCCTAGATTTTTGTGGTCTGCATGCATCACTTGTGTCTCAGAGGGCCCCTCTGCAATGTTCTCCACCACTGACCCATACTGATGTATCAATTGCATGTCGCCATTGAACAGTTTTGAAACCTTCCTACTCAATTCCAATTGGATTTTCCTGTGCCTGTACTGAAGCAACCTTCCGCACAGCATGTACATGTCACCAGCTGTCAAGGTCCCGCTGACAAGTGTTTGCAGTAGAATAAATTGAGACCTTCCTTTCCTCCCACTGGAAGCTGCATCCTTATGTCCTTCATCTGTGAGGCCTCTCCTACTCTGTGGCCTTAGGAGGCCAGTGCTGCCATGTAGCCCCTTTTCCAGCTGCCTCCAGTTCCCTTATCCTCAGAACAAAATATGGTCTCTTGTCTGTATGACAAAACTTCTTTTTCAGTGTTTTAAAATATACCCCTACAAGGAAGGCTTTGTGTACAGTAGGTTAAGCTGCCCCTTGGAGTACCCATATCATATCTGGATGCCAGTTTGAGATCCCACTCCTCTGCTTTCAATCCAGTTTCCTGCTAATGCACCTGGGAAGGCAGTAGATAATGGCCCAAGTGCTTGGGCCCTTGCCTCCTATGTGGGAGACCCAGATGGAGTTCTGGGCTCCTGACCTCAGCCTGGCCCAGTCCCCGCTGTTGCAGGCATTTGGGAAATGAATCGATAGAGAGGAAAATCACCATGTCTGTCTTATATGTCTAAGTTTCTCTCTCTCTCTCTCTCTCTCTCTATATATATATATATATATATGTATGTATGTCCCTATATCTCTTGCTTTGCTTATCAAGTAGATGAAAATAAATAAAATATGCCCATACATATACTTTAAATTATGGAGTCCACTGAATGCCAACATGGTAAGAAGATGCTAATGAGATTGAAAGAACAATTTTTTATTTACTTTTTTGAGAGAAGACACATGCTACACAGGGCCATGTGGGGAAGTGCCCAGCAGTCAGGAGGCAGAAGCTGGAATGAGGGGAAAAGCGTCAGGCCATGGCCATTATTGGGAGTTTCTGCAGAAAAGTGGTGTAGGGTCAACTCCATGAGATTGGATAATTTGGTGCGTTCTGAGGCACAGGAGCTGATGAGCTTAGTTGTTGGATGTCTGGCCCCAGGATGGTTGGTGCAGAGGAGTATTTCCTCCTGGAGTAGAATATTCTGTCACATAGTATAAGTCATTTGGAATATGGACTCAGATTGGTTAGTTAGCATCTTACCAGCATGCTCCTGGCCAAACCCTTTGCTGTTCCTAAGAATTGACTAAAGTTGGGAACAGCCTCTCCTCAAAGTTTCTTCAGATGTCAATAACATACAGAATATTTATTATTTAGAAAGCCAGAGACAGACTGACAGAGATATTCTACCTGCTGGGTCACTTCCCAAATGCCTGCAAAAGCCAGGGCTGGACCAAACCACAGCCAGTAGCAAGAACTCAGTCTGAGTCCCCGTCAAGTGTGGCAGGAACCCAAGTACTTGAGCCATCACCTGCTGGCCCTGAGGGTACACATCAGCAGAAAATGGGGGTTGAGAGAACCAGGATTCAAATCTAGACACTTCGAGAATGAATTCAGGCATCCCAAGAAGCACTGTGCCATTTACCCACCCCTAAAAAAAAAGTCTAAAATAAGATTAATACAATCAGTTCTCTGATGCTCTGATGCAGTATTAAGGAAACCATAGGGTGGTGATAGTGGAAAATTTGAGGAATTAGAGCATAAGTTTTCCTAAATAGAAAGCTTTTAATTATGAGAGTAAGAAATGTCACAGATAGAAATATAAAGAGTCCTTAAAAGACAGCTGTTAACCAGTTTTTCTGTGCCTAGGCATTAGTCAATGCCTGCAACACTATACTGGGCTGGAGTGAGGCACTGCCCGGTCGCCCATGTGGGTGGCAGGAACACAGTTTCTTGAGCCATCACCACCGCCTCCCAGGATCTACACATGCAGGCAGCTGGAGTTAGGAGCTGGAACCCAGCGTCGAGCCCAGGTTCTGCCATATAGTACATGGGGGTCTTAACTGCTAGAACAGATGGGTATCCCCTCCTTTTTTTTGTGGGGGAGGGTATTCGGGTGAGGTGTTTTCCTGATATGTCCCTTGTCATGAAGAATGGCCTCTGTTGTAAATGGAGGCCTTCCTTTCTAGGATTTCCCAATCATCCTGATTGTGCCTACATCCTAGAGAATAGTGGTGGTCTCAGCTTTGTTTTTAAATTATCTGTTTTGTGAAAATTTGATTTGAAGAAGGAGACTCTTAGCATGTCAGCAGCACTTAAATATGCCCAAACATATTAATCAGGTGATCTCTAACAAGTCTAATAAGTTGAAGACCTTTCTCCAGTGTCTTAGGAAGAGCTGGGACAAATGTCCCTTCTCCTTTTTCTTTATTAAACATTGAGCCACAATTTTCCAAGAATGGAATTCCTTATGTGCTTATGTGCTTAACCAAGGCAAGCAGCAACAAAGAGGTTTACCTTGGAAACACTTGTATTTATTGGGTCACATGACTTTCCATGGGGAGGGTGCCCTGCACTTGGTGGGTAATAAATGGGGGTTGGCCTCTGGTTCATTTAGAACCAAGCCAGCAGGCTGTGCTTCTGGGAGTACAATGTCCCAGGCATTCAGTCTTGTTTCTAGGTGGGATATAAATTCAGGACCTTATTTGCCCTGGCTGTCAGAGAATGTTGCAGAGTCAATGGGATGTGCTACCTGGAGCTCAGTGTCCAGCCTACAACCCTCCATGGTACCCTTTGCCAAGTGAGTGCCAACTATTCAGTGGATCAGACCTATCCCTGAACTGAGAACTTGGGGCAACGTGTCTCTCTCTTTCTCTCTCTCTTTCTCTCTCTCTCTCTCTCTCTCTTTAGCTCTGGTTATACTGGGAACTGAAAGATGAAGAGACTGGAAGTTAATAGCCCTGGTGGCTAGCTTGATTGGAAGCTTTGTGAGCCTACCCATCTTAAGTGTGCTACATGAAGTCTAGGACGTCAGCCTAGTCAGAGAGCAAGGAGACTATTGCAGGGTGGGTGCTGTGGTGCAGCAAGTTAAGCCACTGCTTTGGATGCCTGCATCCCATATCAGAATGCCAGTTTGTGACCTGGCTGCTTGGCTCCTGACCCAGCTCCCTGCAAGTATGCCTGGGAATGTGGGGGATGATGGCTCAGAGACTTGGGTTCCTGCTACCCAGATGGGAGACCCAGATGGAGTTCCTGGCTCCTGGCTTCAGCCTGCAGCCTTTTCCAGCACCAGCTATCACGACCATTTGAGCATTGAGCCAACAGATGGAAGATTTCCCTCTGTTTCTATCTGCCTTTCAAATAAATAAATAAATATCTTTTTTTAAGGAAAAAAAAAAGCCTCATCCGTGGTCATTTCAATTCTAGAGAGGGAAAATTTTCACTATTTCTTTTGAAGATTTTCATGTAGAAGTCTAGCTTTCTGGATCAACACCAGAAAACCATCCAACTCTTAGCATAGGTACCCAGAAATACCATGGCCTAGAGACACGTTGGAGGCATACAACTCTTACCCAGAAGCAGAACAGGCATGCATTGTACCTCCCCTGTGCTAAGACCTGGGGTCAATCTACAACTTAAGTTAGAAAGCAAAGCAGGAAAAGAAGGACCCCGTCCAAAGTGGTATGAGCCAGCCCCTACTCCTAGCAGTAATTTCTCAGAGAATGTGTTGGATGGTGCAATCAAGTGGTAGGCACAGAGTAGCCCAGAGTATGTTCCTGCTGTGCAACACTGAGTAAATCTGTTCACTGCATCAGTTTTATGCAGTATCTGTGGGACTGTAATTTGTAGACATACCCAAAAGCCACTGACAGTTAAATGCCACTGAAAGAAAAATTTATTAGTTACACATCTAAGAGAAGGGGACACACCATGTCACATAGGGTAACATAGAGAAGTACCTGATGGATGAGGGGCAGAAACAAGAGCAAGGGGAAAACACTGGGCTACACCTTTCATTGGGATTTCTGTGGGAAAGGCAGTGCCGAGTAAACAGCTCAGGACTGGCTGGTGAGAATAATTTCAGTGGGCCTTGGGAAGGGGGGACTGGCCTTACCTGGCCACAGGATGGTTAGGGAAGAGGAATACTGCCTCTGGGGTACAAGCAACAAGGACATGGTTTGCAATATGGGCTCTGGATGCCCCCCCCCCAGTGCATTCATTAGGAGTGAAGCTAGGACCCAAACCCAGGTACCCCAATATGGAAAGCAGGTGCTCCAAGGGGTGTCTTTAGCTGATCTGCCAAACACCCACCCCCAGCCACGTCTTTTGTAGGTGTCAAAACATCATACCGTACAAAGAATTTTTCAAACATGGCCAAGACTCTCCCACCATAAATAGCATGCTTCTCATCAATATTTCTCTTCTTTCAGTGTGTTGGCATGGAACTGAGGATAAAGAACAGAGTATTTCTGCAAAAGGAATGTCACAAGTCAGGACTTTAAAGAAAAGTCTCTCTACCCAGAAGCCTCACCCTTGTGAAATGTGTGTCCCAATCCTGAAAGATGTTTTGCACTTAGCTGATCTACCTGGGCAGAGACCGAACTCTTCTGGAATATATGCACACCTTCGCCAGGACCAGAAGCATTGTAGTGCGAAGGATTCACTCAGAAGACAGGTGGATAGAGCCTCCCTTCTGAAGAACTTCATATATCATTTGTCAGAGAAGCCCTCCTTTTGTAGAAAGATTGGAAAGGACTTCCTCACCAAGTGGGGCCTTCTTCACTCCCCAGCCATTCCCAAAGTGGAAAAGCCAAACAAGACCACTGATTGTAGGGAGACTTTTCACTGCGGGGATAGTCATCACCAGTCAGATGAGTGCAGAAAAGCTTCCAGCCAGACACATGCTGCTGTTCAGCGCCCAAGAGTATGTTCTGGAGAAAGCACTTATGAGTCAAGCAAATGTGGAACTGCCTTCCGTGACAAATACTCACTTGTTCCATTCCAGAGAGCCCGCAGTGGAGGAAGACCTTATGAGTGCAGTGAATGTGGAAAATCTTTTAGCCAAAAAGCTACCCTTATCATACATCAGAGAGTTCATACTGGAGAAAAGCCATATAAATGTGACAAATGTGATAAGTCTTTTAGTCAAAGCTCCAACCTTATTGAGCACTGCAGAACTCACAGTGGAGAAAGGCCTTATGAGTGCGGGGAATGTGGGAAGGCCTTTGGGTGCAAGTCCAACCTTGTTCGGCACCAGAGAACTCACACAGGAGAAAGGCCTTATGCATGTGCTGAGTGTGGGAAATTCTTTAGACAGAGCTTCAGCCTCGTTGAACACCAGAGAATTCACACTACAGCAAGGCCTTATGCTTGTGGCCAGTGTGAGAAATCCTTCAGTCAAAAAGCCACTCTAATTATACACCAGAGAGTTCACACTGGAGAAAGGCCATATAAGTGTGGGGTATGTGGAAAATCCTTTAGTCAAAGCTCCAACCTTATTGAACACTACAGAATTCACACTGGAGAAAGGCCTTATGAGTGCGCAGAATGTGGCAAAGCCTTTAGTCAAAGAGCCACCCTCATTAGACATCAGAGAATTCACACTGGAGAAAGGCCTTATGAGTGTACAGAATGTGGTAAATTCTTTAGACAAAACTTCAGCCTTATTGAACACCGTAGAATTCACACTACAACAAAAATTTATGAATGTGGCCAGTGTGGAAAAGCCTTTAGCCAAAGAGCCACCCTCATTAGACACCAGAGGGTTCACACTGGAGAAAGGCCTTATGAATGTGCAGAATGTGGGAAAGCCTTTGGCTACAAATCCAAACTTGATCGACACCAGAGAACTCACACAGGAGAAAGGCCTTATGAGTGTGGTGAGTGTGGGAAATTCTTTAGGCAAAGCTACAGCCTCGTTGAACACCAGAGAATTCACACCAGAGCAAGGCCTTTTGAGTGTGACCAGTGTGGGAAATCCTTTAGCCGAAGAGCTGCTTTCATAAAGCACCAGAGAGTTCACACTGGAGAAAAGCCTTACAATTGTGGTGAATGTGGGAAGTCTTTTAGTCGGAGCACCAGCCTTATCCAGCACTGTAGAATTCACACTGGAGAAAGACCATATGAGTGTGACCGGTGTGGAAAATCTTTCCGGCAAAAGTCTGTCCTCATTCAACATCAGGTAGTTCACACTGGAGAAAGGCCCTATGAATGCAGCAAGTGTGGGAAGTCCTTTAGCCAACGCTCCAGCTTTTTTCAGCACCAAAAATGTCACACCATGGGGAGGCCTTGTGAAGGCAGGAGATGTGGGAAATCCCTCAACTCCAGGCCTAATGTCGTTTAGCACCAGGAAGTCCACGCTTGTGAAAGGCCTTAGAGCTGCAGGAAATGTGTTCTCTGTTTACTGTAATGACACAGAGAGAGCCTTTATGGGGAATCCGTCGACCTGAAGATGAACCTCATACTTACAGGGATCCAGGGGGGTGAAATTCCTCCTGAGTCCCAGGAGCTCCAGGAAGAACTCTGCACGCCCTAGGCTGACTGGGCCTTTACCAGAAGCCACCTCTCCTGTAGCGTCTTGCACAACGTGCGTCGGTCACCCTGATGTGCTGAGGCAAGGCAGATGTCTGTTCTCTTCCATGTCTTAGAGGAAATCTTGAGTAGCCAGAGCCCTTGGAGTGGTGCCACGGGTCTGCGTTCCGGCTGAGAGGGCCTCATGTGAGTTCAGGTCGAGGCTCATGGGAAGGCTCACCTTCATGGAGATTCAGGGGCCCAGGTGGTCAGGTGATGTTTACAGACCCCAAATCACTGAATGGTAACTTCTTACGTAGCGTTGCTCTTATTTGTGTACTAATAAATTTTTTTCTTTTTTTCTCCTCATCTTCTACCAGGGAGCTCTGTTACCAGCTTTGGATAGGTGGAATTCAGAACTGGGCTCTGTATGAAAGGTTGGGCAGCTTTTATGGGGTCTCCACGTTGTGTGCCTTAGTAGGGGCACATTAATGACAGAGTAGTCTGTTCTGTTGTGATTTGTTTACATTACTACCCAGGGAAGCAGGGCAGGGCTTTATGGTCCGATTTTTTTTGTCCTCAATGCCTCTTTTTTTTTTTCTTTTTTAAGACTTTAGGCCACCCTAAAGAGGAGTCAGTTGTTACTATTTTCAGTATTACTTGAAATAGCCCGAATTTGTTCCATTATTCACACATAATGCCCAGCATTGTTGAGGAGAAGCTTTTCATCAGATCTTATAAAGAGCCATATGCCCTGATGCTGGCAACAGTGTTTAGAATATTGGAGCCAGGTGTGTGCCATTGAAAGAGAAATACAAGATGCAGTGAACACGGAATATAGGAGCTGGCGGCCAAACAAATGGTCTGTGCTTCCTATAGCAGTGTACACTAAATCCCAGTGACCATGGCTGTGAGCAGTCACAATGCCCCCAAATCTGTGTGTGTCCTATGGTTGAGCTCACTGACAGAAAATATTAAGGCTTGGTGAATTCCCATTGTCTTTTGGAATGTACATCTGAAGTCTAAATGCTATACATGCAAAAAGATGAGATTTTTATTTTTGTCCATCAGGTTTGTCTGTTGTCTCCGATCAAAGCAGCCTTTATTGCTCCCCAGTATTGCACTGATTTGGGATTGCCTTTCCCCAGGTGTGAGCAGGGAGGTAACTGTGACTATGGGTGCCAGACCTGGTTTCCACAAAGTGGGGCATCTAGAATTTTTATTTTGCACCTTCAAAAATTTATTGTCCATAGCCAGTGTTGTGCTGCAGCTTGTTGAATAGCCACTTGTGATGCCAGAATCTCGTATTAGAGTTCCAGTTTGAGTCCCAGCTGCTCCACTCCCAGGCCAGTTCTGCTAATGTACCTGGGAAAGCAGTGGATGACATAACTCGAGTACTTGGACCTCTGCCAACCATGTTGGAGTCCCATAAGGAGTTTCAGGCCCCTGGTTTCAGGGACTGAACCAGTGGATGGAAGATCTCTCATTCTGCCTTTCAAATAAATAAATAAATAAACCATTTAAAATTTATATAATTGATGTGCAATAATGTATATGCATTTAAGTTATGCAATTTGAAGTTTTATGCATATAAACTCATGAACCAATCATAATCTCAGTGAACATGTTACAGTCACTCTGCCTTCCTCAGGCCTGCAGGTGTAATTTTGCATTCTTTAGAACTTTATATGAATTCAGTCATAAATGTGTGTACTTTTTTCTGATTTATATTCATGCCTGATCAGTATTTAAAGCTTATTGTTGCAAATGTAAATACTTCATTCTTTTCATTGCTAAGTAGTATTCTGTTCAATGGATGTGCAACTGTTTATCCATTCATCTACTAGTAGACACTTGCATAATTTCCAGTATTGTGCTATTACAAATAAAGCTGCAGTGAACACAGGCATACAGTTCTTTATATGGAAACATATTTCATTTCTCCGTGGCTGATAATTTAGTTGAATGTCTCACTTTTTAAGAAATGCAAAATTCTGATCTAAACTCGTGTCCATTGAAGTCCCAACAGCAGTGTCCGTACCTGGTAGTCTGACTTTCTAATTTTGACTGTTGAATGTGTAATGTCATCTCACTGTGGTTTTGGTTGTGTTTCTCTGATGTTTCATTATATTGAGCATTTTTCACCTGTCTATTTGCTACCTTTATAAGATTTTCATAACATTTCTATTACTACTGGTCTATTTTAGTTGGTTGGTTAATATTTTCATTAAAAATAAACATGTTCAACAAAACATGTTGCAAATATATTCTTCCACCATGTGAGTCACTTACTTGCTAAATGGAATAATTGAATCCTAGAAGAGTTATTTGCTTTACTATTATGATATTCATAGTGCCTAGACACCATAATTTTATGTAAAGGTTAGTCTGCACTAACATATACTACATCATGTTCTTTAGCCATTCAAAAAACAAACCTTGGTTTTGGTGTTTGTTAGCATCTCTGGTGTAAACATTCCCACTGTGGTCATTTCCAAGTTGCCAAAATAATTTCAGTGAACATAAAGTTGGGGAGAGTTGTGCAGTAGCACATCAAGGCGTTTCATTTCCACCACACTGATAATGGTAGCCAGAAGTAGACTCAAGCACATATGTAGAGCTACATACAAATAAAATAACAGTAGGGGCTGGCACTGTGGCACAGTGGATTATAAGGCCCCAGTCTACAGCGCTGGCATCCCATATGGGTGCCGGTTCGAATCCCGGCTGCTCCACTTCTGATCAGCTCTCTGCTGTAGCCTGGGAAGGCAGTAGAAGATGACTCAAGTCCTTGGGCCCCTGTACCCATGTGGGAGACCCAGAAGAAGCTCCTGGCTCCTGCCTTCGGATCAGCACCAGTCCAACCACTGCGGCCAACTAGGGAGTGAACCAGCAGATGGAAGACCTCTCTCTCTTTCTCTCTCTGCCTCTCCTTCTCTTGCTGTGTAACTCTGACTTTTGAGTAAATAAATAAATCTAAAAATAAAAACAGTAAAAATAAGTGACATTTGCAGTGCATATTATGTTTGCTCTTTTGAAATAGTTCAACAAATTGTGTATATTTAATGGATACAATTTGTTTTTTGATAATACTTAAACCTTTCAAACCAAAAATGTCCCCCTGCTTTTTTAATACATGTCTGGCAACATTAAATTGTTTTATGTTCTACCCTTTGTAATGAGTATTTCTAAATACAAACACAAATGCAAAGGAATGCATTATGCTGCTCCATTAAGCATTCCCCAGGGTTCCATCCGTATGTGATTGTTCTTGTTTTATCCATCCTAGCACTTATTGGCTTGTTTTACTTACATTGCCAACATCTTGATTTTTAATGCCTAATCTCATAATGTTAGAACCCTTATTTCCTAATAATGTGTTAAAATATTTGCGGCATCAATTATATAGTCAGTGCTCAGTTTTCTCCATTGTCTCAAAGAAGTTCTTTGAAGTATTCAGATCCAAAATGTACCTGTATGACTTTTTTTTCAGATGTAAGGAAATTATTTTTTTAGAAAACATTTTTTAGGGCCGGCACTGCAGCTCACTTGGCTAATCCTCCGCCTGCAGTGCCGGCACCCCAGGTTCTAGTCCTTGTTGGTGCACCGGATTCTGTCTCGGTTGTTCCTCTTCCAGTCCAGCTCTCTGCTGTGGCCAGGGAGTGCAGTGGAGGATGGCCCAAGTGCTTGGGCCCTGCACCTGCATGGGAGACCCAGAGAAGCACCTGGCTCCTGGCTTTGAATCAGCATGGTGCGCCGGCCGCAGCGGCCACTGGGGGGTGAACCAATGGTAAAGGAAGACCTTTCTCTCCCTCTCACTGTCCACTCTGCCTGTCAAAAAAAAAAAAAAAAAAAGGGTGGCCCATGACACAGCAGGAAGCTATACAATGTGACAGTATGTTTTGCTAGAACACTGCAGCCCAGCCTGGAAGCAAAAGACATTTCTTTACCTTATGTTCCAGGTATCCCAAATGGTTATGAAGTGTGTGGTAGTTTCACTTTAGTACTGTTTAGTGAAAAACAAGTATCTTAAAGTTGTGTGACAGTGTGTGAAACTTACCTATCAACACAACCTGGACTCACCCATGTTATACCACATCCACAAAAGGAAATACATGTGATGTACCTGAGACACACAACTGACATTTACAAAGAACCAAGGACCTGTGTGTTAGGACAGAATTTGTTGCCACACGGATATCAATACTGCACAGAGATTGTGAGCCATACCTGTGGTAGGATATCCCAGAGGCTCATGTGTGGGTCACACACACTATTTTTATTGCTATAGAAAGCTCTATGGCAGTTGCTGCAGCTCAATAGGCTAATCCTCCACCTGTGGCACCGGCACACTGGGTTCTCGTCCCAGTCAGGGTGCCGGATTCTGTCTAGGTCATTCCAGTCCAGCTCTCTGCTGTGGCCCGGGATGGCAGTGGAAGATGGCCCAAGTGCTTGGGCCCTGCACCCGCATGGGAGACCAGGAGAAGCACCTGGCTCCTGGCTTCAGATCAGCGCAGTGTGCCAGCCGCAGCGGCCATTTGGGGGTGAACCAAGGGAAGGAAGACCTTTCTCTCTGTCCACTCTGCCTTTCAAAAAAAAAAAAGGAAAGAAAGAAAGCTCTAGCCTTTGCTTGTTTTCATTTGGTTGATATTCATTTATTTCCACAACACACACGGCAGGCTGTATCTACTAAGTGTAATGATGTACCTGGTCAGGAGAGAACAATCTCCCACTTCCTGAAGATTGACAAAGTGCTGGTGACAATCACAACAGGAAGATTGATGCTCCCTCGACATAACCTGAGACTCATGTAAGATGACTGAGTGGAAGAGGGTGTGAGAAGATGGAGCTTCAGGAACAGAAGCTAGCATTTAGCAATGGCTCCCTCCATGAGAGTCTATTTCTGTTAATCACAGTTAACATGCAGAAGCCACATCCACCTCTCCCTGAACCCTGTACCAAGACCCAGGGGACTTCAGCAATTCAGACTTGGGTCTCTACCTTTTCCAGTGACAGAGTAATAGATTATAACCTCATCCATAAGGACGGCACTGTGGCATAGCAGGTAAAACTATCTCCTGCAGTGCCAGCATCCCATATGGGTGCCGGTTCAAGTCCCAGCTGCTCCAGTTCCGATCCAGCTCTCTGTTATGGCCTGGGAAAGCAGTAGAAGATGGCCCAAGTCCTTGGGCCCCTGCACCCATGTGGGAGACTCAGAAGAAGCTCCTGGCTTCAGATCAGCTCAGCTCCAGCTGTTTCAGCCAATTGGGGAGTAAACCAGTGGAAGACATCTCTCTCTCTCTCTCTCTCTCTCTCTGCTTCTCCTTCACTCTCTGTGTAATTCTGACTTTCAATTAAAAAATAATCTCATCCATGTCTGAAGGCAGATGTTGCCCCCTGACCTATGACTTTCCCACTGTCGGTGACCTTAAAGGTCATGGTCATGACCCTCACCTGGCAGAAAAGAGGATATCTGGAATTGGCCCAGGGGACCCTGTACTAGGATGTGAGGCTAGGGAACTGTGGGCTCCTGGTCTTGCTGAGTAAGGCTTCACTGTCTCCCATGTGGGTGACCTACGGCTTCCTTCTTAATTCTACTGTATTACTCATGCCTGGCTGGTAGGCAAGGCCTCCTTCTACCCACAGTCGCTGCTTTCACTGTTCTGGTCCCACATGATTTTGCTGGATCTTCTTGTTACTATTATTAGAATCCTTGGAAAAGAATATATTCCTTCTAAACACAAATCCTCACCCAGTGCACAGCACACTCTGTCCTCAATCTTCTTTGTTTTAGAATCCACAGCAAAGACTCCCATCAGCCCATTCTGACTGGGTTAGGTGTCCTGGCAACCTAGTTAGCAGGGTGGTGGATGGCAGGATCTTAGAGAAGGGGTTGAGTCAAGTAGGCCTCAGGGTATCTTCCTAATCAAAACAATCTCCAACACAAGGCCACTGAGGTGTCTACAGTCTGCGCTTAATTCCCAGGCCGGGGCTAGGCTCCTCTGCTGGTACAGATGATCTTAGAGGCTTTGTACCACATCCTCAAGTGAGCACAGCCTAGATATGCACTCAGTTTCAGCCTCTTTTTCTCACTTTTTAGTTTTCTAGAAATGTTGATCTTTTGGGACTGGCTAAGCCTCTGTCTGCAGCGCCGACATCCCATATGGGCACCAGTTCATGTCCTGGCTGCTCCTCTTCTGATCCAGCTCAGTGCTGTGGCCTGGGAAAGCAGTGGAAGATGCCCAAGTCCTTGGGCCCCTGCACCCACATGGGAGACCCAGAAGAAGCTCCTGGCTCCTGGCTTCGGATCGGCATGGCTTCAGCCATTGTGACCATTTGGGGTGTGAACCAGCAGTGGGAAGACCTCTCTCTTTGTCTCTTCTTCTGTCTGTAACTCTCTCTCTCAAATAAATAAATAAAACCTAAAGAGAAATGTTGATCTTTCACAAATATTTGCCCTCCCTGTAGACACTGCCACGGCATGTACAGGTGACATAACAATCAATCCCAGTAAGGAGGTGACCTCACAGTATTCCAGATGTTTATCTTTATGGTAAAGATTTCCCCTTTGCATATGTGCTCAAACCATGATCATGGCAGCCACTGTCAGGGCAGGAAAAGGTATTTGGCAAGTGGCTCTTGTCTTCAGGTAAGTATAGGCTTTTAAAATTAATAGTGTCTGGAGCCAGCACTGTGGTGTAGTGGGTAAAGCAGCCACCTGCAGTGCTGGCATCCCATATTGGCGCCGGTTTGAGACCCGGCTGCTCCACTTCCAATCCAGCTCTCTGCTATGGCCTGCGAAAGCAGTAGAAGATGGCCCAAGTCCTTGGGCCCCTGCACCCACACAGGAAGACCTGGAGGAAGCTCCTGGCTCCTGGCTTCAGATTGGCTCAGCTCCAGCCATTGCGGCCAATTGGGGAATGAACCAGCAAATAAAAGACCTCTCTCTCTCTCTCTCTCTCTCTCTCTCTCTCTCTCTCTCTCTCTCTCCCTTTCCTTCTCTCTGTGTAATTCTGACTTTCAAATAAATAAATACATCTTTAAAAATATTAATAGCATCTGTAGCAAGAAATTAAGCAGAAAATGTTACATGGAAAAAATAATTGGAATTGTTGGGTTGGGTACACAAACACTGAAATGAATCTATGCAAGGAAGATTTTTGTGTAGGAAAGGAGGCAGAATATCCCATCATCCAACCATTCCCGACATATCACATCATCTCTCCAGCGTGGCACTGGCTGACTTCTTTCCTTCCTTTTCCATTGACTTCACATAATGAACTCCAGAAAACAGACTCTAAAGCCTTTCTCCACATATACTTGAAGATCAAGTTGTAACATTTGTTTCCGTCTACTGAAAGAATGCACTTTATGTCTGAGTGACACTGTGGTGTACACTTTCTGCATTTTCTATGGGTTCCTGCTTTTCTGAATGGATGGGTGAAAACATTGTCACCAAAATTTCTGTGATGGGGAGCAAATTTTAAACCTTTATAATCCCTACAGTGATTGAATAAGTGCTTAATCACTGAAGATGTTCTGAGTGGGAATGAACAATGCCTTTGCTACTCAAATCACAAATGACATGTAACCAGATTTTAAAGTCCACTGATCTCCTAATTCCTTGAGAGAGTTTTTATGCTTTTGCCCTCACAGTCCCTCAGATCCTCAAACTCTTTCCTTGGGTTTTTACCATGACATCCCTCCCTGTCTCCAACCAGCAGTCATAAACTGTTTTATTCCAAGAAACTCAATCTTGAATAATGCCTTATGAGTTGATGTATTAGTCTGCTTTTTGCTACTTTAACTAAAATATCTAAGGGGAGTTTCTTAGGGAAGGAACTATTTCTTTCCACTTGCAGCTTGGAGGTTCCAGTTCAGGGTTGGCAGGATTAGGTGGCCTCAGAGTCTTGTGTCTGGTGGATGCTCATCGTGGCAGGTGCAGAGGCACATGGTGAGCCATGAAGTACAGAATGCAGCTAGGCAGAACCCGGACTCAAATAATCCTCTCACGAACACCACCTCCTGAGAGCCGGCCCCCCGTGACCTAAAGACCTCACACCAGATCCTCTTCTCAGATACAATAATTAGGTCCAGTCTCCAACTTTAATCCATTAATCATTAACATTAAGATCCATGTCAACACCTACATGAGTTTGGCATAGACAAGTCCTACTCAAGCCATGACATCTGGGTATTTTCATAACACTGCCCTGATAAGACATTGCACTTAATTAATTAATTTTAAAGATTTATTTTAGTTGAAAGGCTGAATTAAAGAGTGGGGGAGGCAGAGACAGACAGAGAGGGGGAAAGAGAGATCTTCCTTCTGCTGGTTCACTCCCCAAATGGCCATGATAACTGGAGCTGGGCCAGTCTGAAGCCAGGAGCTTCTTCCAGGTCTTCCACATGGACACAGAGGTCCAAATACCTGGGCCATCTTCCACTGCTTTCCCAGGCATATTAGCAGGGACCTGGATCAGAAATGGAGCAGCTGGGACTTGAACTGGCATCAATATGGGACGCTGGTACTGCAGGTGGAGGCCTAACATGCTATGCCACAGAGTCAGCCACTGCAGAGGTAAGCATGACACAAGACAGAGGAGACCAAAAAGTAGGAGCATGGAGGGAGTGGACTCAACCAAGCAGGTGGAGATATAAATTATTTTGAACCCATGGAAAGTACCTTTATTGAGTGTCAGGGTGGACTATAAGAAAAACGTGAAGATATTTTATTATATATTTGACTGTCACTAGGTCACAGGGCAAGGAGGGGACCTTGTATCAGAGTCCTACCTCGTTACAACAGAGCACCTGGTTGAATGGTGTCGCTCCCCCTCTTCGTGGAGGAACGACACTAAGCCCTGCCTAGGCTTCCTATCCGAGTCACGGCACCATTATGTCACTCCCCCTTTTCGTGGAGGAGCGACACTAAACCCTGCGCTGTTCTTTCGTCTGCTCGGCCCTCCCCGGGTTTGCTGCTGGTTCTTCCCGGGTTGGCTACTATCCCTTCCACCTCCGTGGAAGGGCGGTTCCCCCTGGCCACATTCCCCACTTCCGCAGGGGAGCGGCACACCGCTGGCCGGCTCTTCTCGGGGGCTGCACAGGTGTTCCCCTTAGATGTTCCCCTTAGATGTTCCTGGTGCATGCCGTCTCTCTCCTCCTTTATAGTCCTCCTCCGCCAATCCTAACTCGGCTGCCCACACGCCGAGCACGCTGCTCTCCTCCAATCAGGAGCAAGTCCTACAGTTTATTGGTTGAACTGGAGGCAGCTGTGCAGAAGCTGTTTACTTCTCTCCCAGCGCCATATTGTGGGAGAGCAGATGCATAGAATAAGTCTTAATTCCAGTAACTTAGTCTAAGTCCGGGTTGCTCCCCACAAATGGGTAGGTGCCCACAGCCTGATTGTGGGAATGTTGAAGCACCAGAATAATAGGAATGCTCTCCCCCATGATGCCTAACATAATGGTGAGCAATCTCCAGTGGACTTCTTGTCTCTGGCACATTGGCCCCTGGCCCACAGTCACCTTTTGGACCTGTCTGGCAGCTGCCTGAACTTAGGGCATCATTGGCCTAAGGTGTGCTTTGGTAAAAGGAAAATTAGACCCAAATGCAATTAAAATCTAAAAAGATGTCCTTGGTAAATAACAATCTCATGCATGAGAATTTGCTTCAATTACAGCTGGACATTGAGTTTAAAGGAAATTCTCTCTTTGACTCTAGGAAGATCACTGCCTTTAAAAATATTGCTTTCTAACTTGCCAAACTTATTTTGCAATTTGTTTTTAACAGGCTTCCAATGATATAGCAATGTGTAATCAGTGCTCCATGAAACAGCAATGGGTAATCAGTACTCCTTATAGCCCCTAAGGTGGATTTTGCAATCTCTAGTTTAATGTCACTGATTTATAGCTGGAGTTTTATAAAAGGAGCAGAATTCCATATGAATGTAATTTTGACCTTAATTCAGATAGAAATATATATAATACCAGCATCCTCAGTCATCCAGGTGTAATTGATAAATGTAAATTGGGTAGGGGCCGGCACCTTGGCTCACTTGGTTAATCCTCCACCTGTGGCACTGGCATCCCATATGGGTGCCGGGTTCTAGTCCTGGCTTCTCCTCTTCCAGTTTAGCTCTCTGCTGTGGCCTGGGAGGGCAGTGGAGAATGGCCCGATTGGAGACCACATGGGAGACCAGGAAGAAGCACCTGGCTCTGGCTTCGGATCATTGCAGTGCCAACCACTGCAGCCATTTGGGGAGTGAACCAATGGAAGGAAGACCTTTCTCTCTGTCTCTCTCTCTCAGTGTCAAATACTGTCAAATAAATTTTAAAAAAATGCAAATTGGGTAAAGGCAAATGTGTCTAAATGTACACCTTGGTACTATTAGCACCTTCTAACGTGTTTTCGTAAATTGTCCATATGAAAATAGTTCAACATGGCTTGAAAGTAAGGTTGAAATTATCTTATTTAGAAAATTACCTTATTTAGAAAATTATCTTATTTAGAAAATATTGTCTTAATTTGGAGATTTCCAAAAGGTGATTTCAAAATGTAAATCAGGGAAATCAGCAGATGGAAAGCAAAAGCTATTAGTTTATTTGACATAGAACTAGAATCTAATCCTGTTAAAGCAATGAGGTTTCTGCAACGCATATATGTTAGTCAATATTTTAAATCATCTTAAAATCTGTTTAAAACCTGCAGGATCTCCTTTTCATAGTTTTGTCTAGTTGGTAACTCAATGTCAGTTTTCTAGCCGGCTGCAGTAAGCTATTTGCTCTTCCCCAGTTCTGCCTCTTTCAAAACTGTTCCAAACTGTGGGACTTGATGCCATGCACTAGCTCTTAAATTTAAGGTTTTATGTCAGGTTTTTGGACCGACCAAAGAGACACAGCTTTCGTGTTCTGTTGTGATCTATTCAAGAAAAAAACGGAAGAAAAAAAGACCCAAGACCCCTCCCCCTTGGTTAAAGCCTTTCCATTCGCTTTCGTTTTGCACCCCTGGGAACCACAAGGCATTAGCCTAAGAATGAGAAGAGCTTCCGGCGCCTAGCCGGATGCAGGTGGAAAACTACACTACCCAGAAGGCAGTAGGACAGAGACGTCTTCGGGCAAAAACGTCACCGGAAAAGGCGTGACCAGAGGCGCGCCAGCTGGGTTATAACTTCCGGTGTCGTGGGTTTGGGTGTTTGTGGCGTGGCCAGTGTTTCCACAACCGCAGAGCGGAGCGGGGCGGGGGGTGGGCGTTAAGGAGGATGGGGTCCAACGTCGCGACTTTGTAGGGCGTGGGGGAGGGTCCTGCACGGAGCCCGATGGCGGCGCGGAGGAGCCTCGCACAGGTGAGTGGACTTTGCCGCGCGGACGCTGGCGTGCTCGTCACGGGTGGCGGCGGCCGTGCCCCTGCTCACTGTCATCTCCCTGCGGTTGGTGCTCGGAGCCGTGGGGCGGCGTCGCTCCCGGCCGCGGGCTGGAATGCAGGCCCGGGTCGCGTGGCGCGGGGTGGAAGAGGGACGCGTGGCTTCCGTGAACGCGGGCGTGGGGCGAGCCGCAGCCCGGGAATTCAGTGGGTCTGGCTGTGCCTTCTCGGGGCTTGAGCAAGTCCCCTTGCTGCCCTCGGACTCGGTTTTCTCTGGCAGAGAGTGGGGACACGGACAGTTCCTTAGCGGGGGCCCAGCGTGACCCGCGGCGCTGCCCCTGGGTGTGTGGACGTGGAAGGCTCACCCCTGGGCCTCCCTGGCCTCTGGTTTGTACAAAGCGAGGGTCGGGCGAGAGGCAGAGGTTCGTGTTTCTGGAGATGCTTCTGTGATAGGGCGGACAGGTGGCAGGGCAGGCGAAGGGGCTTATTTTTCAGAGTGAGTGGATCTGTGTTCCTGCTTAGGCCATTCAGTAACAGGTGAAAGTGAGCATTGTAATGAGCTCTTGGGAAGTAAGCGCTGGGTGACTTGAGCGGCCACCTGTTGCCCTCATCATAGCCGTGGTCTCCATCTGCACGCACCTCATTTATTAATATCCCCTTGGCGCCCTCTCTCCTTTACTTCAAGCTTGCTCCACCGTTGCCTCATCCAACGGTGACCTTAACCTCTCTGTCTCCTTGCTCTGTTTTCTTGTATGCTGAATCTTTGGGTCCCTGGACAATGTCTTGATTCCCCCCCACCCCGCCCCGTTTGGATTATCTTTTCTGCCCTAGTACCACCAGCCCGCCTTGATTACATTTGTTAGGCTCAGTAAACGGCTAATCCAGGTGGGCATGCAGCCGGCAGTTAAGACGGTGATGAAAATGCCTGTGTCCCGTTTTGGAGCTCCCAGGTCTGACTCCTGACTCCAGTTTTCTGCTAATGCAGATCCTGGGAGGCAGTGGTCATGGCTCCAGTGAGTGGGTTTGCGCCACCCGCGTGGGAGACCTAGATTAAGTTCATGGCTTCTGTTTTTGGCCTGGCGCAGTCCTGGCTGTTGGAACATGTGGGGAGTTTCTCTCTCTCTCTCATAAATAAATACATTAACAAATAAACTGTTGATGAATAAGTAGTTCTCCTTCCAGGGGTCCCATCGCGGTTAGAATGAATCCAGTTCCCTTCCTCTCCTTGGCCCACCAGACGTTACCTAACCTGCTCCTCAACCACGTCTGCTCTGCCTCTTCCGTTTTCCACTTGCATCCAACCAAGGCGTCCTGAACTTGCCAAGCTTTCGTGGCCTTTGCCCTAGCACTTCCGTTGGTCTGGGGCGCCACCCAGGCATCTACAGGGCTGCCCCTGCGTATCCCTCTTGAACATAAATGTCACCTCTTAGGAAACAGTCTTTAGCTAGAAGTAGAAGAGCCAGGTAAAGTGCCCATTGGCCCCGCCTGTCATCCTCTGGCATCTTTGTAAGGTGTTCACCAATTGTTTAAATTCTGCTTTTGGGTGCCGGTGCTGTGGTATAGTGAGCTTATCATCTGCCTTTGGTGCCAGCATCCCATATGGGTGCTGGTTCGAGTCCCAGCTGCTCCTGTTCGGATACAGCTCTCTGCTATGGCCTGGGAAGGCAGTGGAAGACAACCCAAGTACTTGGGCCCTTGCACCTGCACGGGAGACCCAGAAGAAGCTCCTGGCTTCAAATCAGCCCAGCTCTGGCTGTTGAGTCCATTTGGACAGTGAACCAACAGATGAAAGACATCTGTCTCTTTGTCTCTTCCTCTCTCTGTATCTCTACATCTCAAGTAAATAAGTAAAATCTTTCTTATCTTAAAGATTTATTTATTTTGGGTTAGCACTGTGGCATAGTGGGTTAAGCCGCCACTTGCAATGAAGGCATCCCATATGGACACTGGTTTGAGTCCTGGCTGCTCCACTTCCAATCCAGCTCCCTGCTAATGTGCTGGGGAAAGGAACAGAGCATGGCCCAGGTGTTTGGGCCCCTGCACCCACGTGGGAGACATGGCGGAAGTCCTGGCTCCTGGCTTAAGCCTAATCCAGCCTTGGCCATTGTGGCCATCTGGGGAGTGAACCAGCAAGCCAGTGAAAGATCTCTTTCTCTTTTGCCCCTCCCCCCAACTTTGACTTTCAAATAAATGAATCTTAAAAAAAAAGGCCTGATTAATCTACTGGACAAAACTGTCACCTTTGGGATGAGCTTTAAAAAAAGAAGCTCCTTAGGGGCCAGCACTGTGGCACAGTGGGTTAATGCCCTGATCCAGCTTGCTTCTAATACATGTCCTGGGAGGTCTTGGTGCATGATGGTTCAAATATTTGTCCCTGCCATCTATATGGGAGACCGTGGGGAGTGAACCAGTGGATAGAAGATCTGCTGTATTCTAATGCCTGTCCCCCAAAGTATTCTTAATTTCTCACCTTAAAAACTGAGGATTGGGGCTGCCGCTGTGGCACAGTGGGTTAAAGCCCTGGTCTGCAGCGCCAGCATCCCATATGGGCACTGGTTTGAGACTTGGCTGCTCCACTTCCAGTCCAGCTCTCTGCTATGGCCTGGGAAAGCAGTAGAAGATGGCCTAGGTCCTTGGGCCCCTGTACACACGTGGGAGACCTGGAAGAAGCTCCTGGCTCCTGGCTTTGGTCCGGCGCAGCGCTGGCCATTGTGGCCATTTTGTGAGTGAACCATCAGATGGAAGACCTCTCATCTCTGCCTATGCCTCTCTGTAATTCTGCCTTTAAAATAATTAAATAAATATTAAAAAAAAAAAAAAAAAAGCAGCAGCGGTTCCTGGCTTCAGCCTGGCCCAGCCCCAGCCTTTGTGGCAATTTGGGAAGTGAATCAGCGGATGGAGATTTCTCTCTCTCTCTGACTCTGGCTCTCCCTCCCTGTAACTCTTTCTTTTTTTTTTTTTTTTTTTTAATATTTATTTTATTTATTTGAAAGAGTTACAGAGAGAGAGAGAGAGGTCTTCCATCCACTGGTTCACTCCCCAGGTGGCCAGCCACAACAGCTGGAGCTGTGCTGATCCAAAGCCAGGAGCCAGGAACTTCTTCTGGGTCTCCCATGCAGGTAATGCAGGTACAGGGGCCCAAGGATTTGGGCCATCCTCCACTGCTTTCCCAGGCCACAGCAGAGAGCTGGACTGGAGGAGGAGCAACCAGGACTAGAACCGGCGCCCATATGGGATGCCAGGGCTTTAACCCGTTGTGCCACAGTGCTGGCCCCAACTCCACCTTTCAAATAAATGTCTTTTTTTTTTTTTTTAAGATTTATTTATTTTATTTGAAAGTCAGAGTTACACAGAGAGAGGAGAGACAGAGAGAAAGAAGTCTTCTATTTGCTGGTTCACTCCCCAACTGACCACAACGGCCGGTGCTGCGCCAGTCCAAAGCCAGGAGCCTGGAGCTTCTTCCAGCTCGCCCACATGGGTGCAGGGGCCCAAGGACTTGGGCCATCTTCTACTGCTTTCCTAGGTCATAGCAGAGAGCTGGATTGGAAATGGAGCAGCTGGAACTGAACCTGCACCCATATGGGATGCCAACACTGCAGGTGGTGGCTTCACTCGCTATGCCACAGGGCTGGCCCCATAAATAAATCTTAAAAAAAAAAAAACTTATTTATTTGAAAGGCGGAGTTACAGAGAGGTAGAGGCAGAGAGAGAGAGGTCTTCCATCTGCTGGTTCACTCCCCAATTGCTGCAACATCTGGAGCTGGGCCGATCTAAAGCCAGCAGCCAGGAGTTTCTTCCTGGTCTCCTATGCAGGTACAGGGGTCCAAGCACTTGGGCCATCCTCCACTGCTTTCCTGGGCACATTAGCAGGGAGCTGGATTGAAAGTAGAGCAGCTGGGACTCGAACCAGAGCCCATATCTGATGCTGGCACTGCAGGCAGCGGCTTTACCTGCTCTGCCACAGTCCCAGATCCATAAAATAAAATCTTAAAAAAATTCTGCTTCTGCATCTTCAATGAGAGACTCAGGGCAACTTCCCAGGCTGCCTGAAGGCTATGATGTGGAGGTGGTAATCTTTGGGAGCTGAGAATAGATAAAAGTTGAAAAACACATCAAGTATTACATATTCTAGGTGCTTCAATGGAGTCTTGTGAACATTTTCTCAATGTACCCCTGGTAAAGTGGGAATGATTAATGTATTGACTTGGAAACCAAGGCTGTAAGAAATGAAATGACTGAGGCAGGCTTTTGGCTTAGAAGTTAAATCATTGACTAGGTCTCCCCTGTCCCTAGTGAAAATACCTGGTTTGATCTGCAGCTTCAGCTCCTGATTCCAGCTTCCTATTGATGCAAACCAGGGAAGGTAGTGGTGATAGCTCAAGTCATTGGATTCCTGCCACCCAGTGGGAGACCTGGGCTGAGTTCCCAGCTCCCAGCCCTGGCATCTCAGCTGTTGCTGGCATTTGGAAAGTGAAGCAGATGAGAGCTCTCTGTCTCACTCTCTGTGCTTCTTAAATAGAAACAATAATAAAATAAAGTGATATGCTCATCACAGTCACAAAGCTGGCAAGTGCAGAGCTGGGGTCCGTTACTTACCTTACTACCATGTGTGACGCCCTCAGCCTGCACAGGCACGGTGAGGTCCCAGAGTCTTAGCTGGTGCTGTTACTATGATTGGGATCATTATCAGAGTTGTTTTCCTCCATTTCACTGATGTCTCAGAGCGTTTACTGTCTACTTCCTACAGGTCTCATGGGATTGTTGTCCCGACCGTGTCACATGGCTTCCCATGGAAGGTCTTTCTCAGTCACAGTTATGTTAGGTTCAGTGGTCAGATCTCCTTCCACCTTGAGCTCAGAGCTTGGCCTTTAGGGGGACTTGATAATTCAGACTCTCTGCCCCATTTCCAGTGACCAAATGACAGACTGTGTCCTATCCAACAGCACCACTCTGTTTGACTCTTCAGGTGTTGGTGACCTTCAGGGATGTGGCTGTGACCTTCACCCGGGAGGAGTGGAGACAGCTAGACCCATCCCAGAGGACCCTGTTCCGGGAGGTGATGCTGGAGACGTGTGAGCTCCTGGTCTCACTAGGTAATTACCCATTTTGTTTCCTGGGGTAACTCCAGCCAGCAAAGCAAGGTTTTAGAATAAAATACTTAAGGTGGTGCATTGTGTGTGCTCTATGCAGACCTGTCACTATAAGTTTGGTTGGGAAGATGAACATCAATTTGTCAGTGGCAGCTGAGTTGGGTTGTAGAAAGAAATGAGAATTTAGCAATAAATAACCAGAGACATAACCTGTCACAGGTACTTTACAGAAGGCACGTGAGGAAGTGACAGAGCAGACACTTAAGCTGAGTAGGTGTTAGCCTGATGAAGGAGGGGAAGGAGTTCCAGGTGGAGGAACCAGCATGTGAGCGCCCAAAGTGACAGGGAGCTCAGCTTCTGGCAGAGCTAAAGGACTGCTTGACTCCCCTTTTCCACAGCCTCGTCCCTTAGCTCAGAGCCCGGCGTGTAGGACACAGTGGTGAACGTTACTGACCTGTGCCTGAATAGACCCTGGGCCGTGGCTCCTTGTGCCTCAGTCATGGGGTTGCTGTGCAGAATCTCCCACTTTTCACTCTGACACCTGGTGAAATGCACTTGGCAGAAGACTAGGCCAACCTGGCTTCACCTGGAGAATATTATTGCACCCAATGAGAAACCCCACAGCCTGCCTGGCACAGCCCAGTGATGTCAGCAGGATGTCAAGGTCACTGCCTGGTCCAGGTGTTTGTCTCGCCAGCACCTTACAGAATGCCGCACGTCGACTGTAGGCCCCTTCTTCAACCCTGTCTGTGCACATTGGAATAAAGGTCTTCTGTTCACAGTGAGGATCCAGCTTAGGGTCACCTTTCTTCTAGGAGGAGATTGCAGAAGTACTGATTCCCAGGCCTCACCCCAAGAAATTCGTTTTATTGGTCTGAGGTTGACATCAGCCATTCCCAAGTGGTTTGAGAATCAGTGACTTACGTTAATAAGAAAACACCTGACAGAGGAAAGGTCTTAGCTCTGTGGTATCCTGTGGTGTTTATGAAAATGTGAGAAGACTATCTTCCTGAACACTGTTGGTTCCATAGGTGGAGGCCAAGGGCAATGGGTGCTGTATAGACAAACAGCAATACCCATGGTGGCAGTTATACCCAAAGAGGAATCCACTTCTTCAGCTACCGTAACAAAATAGCATAGAGCAGAGGGCTTAAACAACAGGAGGCTGTTTTCTCCTTGTTCAGGAGTTGGGGGAGTCCAGATCCAGCCCATTCAGTTCTTGGTGTACAGACAGCTGCCTTCTGAGTGAGCTATCACATCATGACGAAACAGAGGTCTCTTTTGTTGTTACTGTTAAAGATTTTTTATTTTTATTTATTTGAAAGAGTTACAGAGAGAGGTAGAGATAGAGAGGTCTTCCATCTGCTGGTTTACTCCCTAGATGGCTGTAATGGCTGGAGCTGTGCCAATCCGAAGCCAAGAGCCAGGAGCTTCTTCCGGGTCTCCCACGCGGGTGCAGGGGCCCAAGGATTTGGGCCATCTTTTGCTTTCCCAGGCCATAGCAGAGAGCTGGATCGGAAGAGGAGCACCTGGGACTAGAACTGGCACCCATATAGGATGCTGCGCTTCAGGCCAGGGCTTTAATCTGCTGTGCCATAGTGCTGGTCTACCCTCCCCACCCCCCCACCCTTTTTTTTAAGGTGCAGTGTTTTGAATTTTTTTTTTTAAGATTTATTTATTCGATAGAGTTACAGAGAGAGGAAGAGAGGTCTTCCACCCGCTAGTTCACTCCCCAATTGGCCGCAAAAGTTGGAGCTGCGCTGATCTGAAGCCAGGAGCCAGGAGCCTCCTCCAGATCTCCCATGCAGGTGCAGGAGCCCAAGGACTCGGGTCATCTTCTACTGCTTTCCCAGGCCATAGAAGAGAGCTGGATCAGAAGTGGAGCAGCCAGGACTCGAACTGGCAACCATATGGGATGTCGGCACTGCAGGCAGTGGTTTTACCCGCTACACCACAGCGCTGGCCTCTTGAATTTTTCTTTATTATTTTTTTTAAAGCAGGCAAGGGGCTGGTGCTGTGGTGCAGTGGGTTAACGCCCTGAGCTGTAGCACCGGCATCCCATATGGCATCAGTTTGAGTCCCGACTGCTCCTCTTCCTATCCAGCTCTCTGCTATGGCCTGGGAAAGCAGTGGAAGATGGCCCAAGTCCTTAGGCCCCTGCACCCGCGTGGGAGACCTGGAAGAAGCTCCTGGCTTCAGATCAGCTCAGCTCTGGCCGTTGTAGTCGTTTGGGGAGTAAACCAATAAAATGGAAGACCTCTTTGGCTCTACCTCTCTCTGTAACTCTGTCTTCAAATGAATAATTCTTTTTTATTTGACAGAGTTATACAGAGAGAGAAAGGTCTTCCTTCCGTTGGTTCACCCCCAAATGACCGCCATGGCCGGCGCTGCACCGAGCCAAAGCCAGGAGCTGGGTGCTTCCTCCTGGTCTCCCATGCGGGTGCAGGGCCCAAGGACTTGGGCCATCCTCCACTGCACTCCCAGGCCACAGCAGAGAGCTGGATAGGAAGAGGAGCAGTCGGGACTCAAACTGATGCCATATGGGATGCCGGTGCTACAGCTCAGGGCGTTAACCCACTGCACCCGGCGCCCATATGGGATGCTGGTGACGCAGGTGGAGGATTAACCAAGTGAGCCATGGTGCCAGCCCAAATGAATAATTCTTTAAAATAAAAAAGGCAGACAAAGAGATTTAGACGCATATCTTCCTTCCACTTCCCAAAAGCTCACAGTAACCATTCTGAAGTCAGAAGCCAGGAACCCGATCCAGGTCTCTTACACGGGTGATGGGGAACCGACTTCTTGAGCTTTCACCTGCTGCCTCCCAGGGTGCACATTGGCAGAAAGCTGTGAACACAGGCCCTTTGACAGGGGTGCAGACGTCCTAAGTGGTGTCTTCACTCCTGTGCCAAACAACCACCACCACCTTGGGAGGTTGTAGTCATTTTCTATTAGGGCCCTGCCCTATAGCCTTGCTGAACCTTACTTCCTAAAGAGCCTGTCCCCAGATAGAATCATAAGGACGGTGTGGGCTTCAGCATGAATTTTGGGGGGGGCGGTCACAGTTCAATCAATAACAATGCCCTTGGTTTTCAAGTGTTCATAAACATTTTGCTTACTTGGGGGGAACTTCATTCCTGGTTCTTTGCAGTCATGAAGTCCTGGCTGGTTGGGGAGGTTTCCTTCTTCTCTCACCTCTGTCCTATTTCACCATTAACAGGGCATTGGGTTCCCAAACCAGAATTGGTCCATCTGTTGGAGCATGGGCAGGAACCATGGACCCTGAAGAGAGGCCTTTCACATAGCACCTGTGCAGGTAGGCAGCCATGAGCTGGTTAGGTGGAGTCCTGGCAGCCTTCAAACCGTGAAGGGTCCACTGCCTCTGAACTGCTTTGGGGAACTCCTGGTGGTTTTCTCGGATGAAGGTACAGTGTCAGCAGATGAGCTCTGAGCGACACAGATATACAGAGACATGGGCACCTTCAAGTTTGCTGTGGTGCACGCAGCTGGCAGGAGGGGAACAGGAGAGGAAGGGCAGAGGTCACATGCAGTGTGCACATGCTCACACTCACGTGTTCTTGACAGGAATTGGGCTTTTGGGCACCCTTGGGTGCTCAGGACTTGGACATTTGTGTGCCAAAGGAGAAGAGTACTCAAATCGGAGTAATACTTTTGGAGTCATCGATTTGATGCATGTAACTAGATTATGTCTGGCACTGCTTAGTTCAGTGCCTGGCCCATGCTCTCGAGAGAAGTTGGCTGCTAGTATTTTCCATGTGCTAGTGTTAATCCTAGTGACTAGTAGTAATCTGTCCATCCTTGTGGACGCAGAGAAGAGACTTTCCTTTCCTTGATGTTACTGTCCACACTGTGCTGTGTAGCTCGTTCTTTTCCACCTGTTCTCCTGTTTGTCTCTCAGCACTCAGAAGCACTACATCGTCCTGCCCCTCTTGCTCTGAAAAACACCTTGGTTGCTTTTGGCCTTGTGTGTGCCACATCTGTGGGTGTAGCTGGAGCCATTCACTTGATGAGTCAGATTGCCAGTGAGTCATGGCCTCTTTCCTGCTGTGACCCTCAGGCTTCTTGGCCAGGCCTAAGCAACCCTCTTAAAGAAGACCTTTCATTTATCTGAAAGACATCTTCCATCACTCCCCCAGATGCCGGCAACAGCTAGTGCTGGGCCATGCTGAAGTCGGCAACCTGGGACTCCATCCAGGTCTCCCGTATGTGGCAGGGACCGTGTACTTGAGCCTTCATCTGCCTCCTAAGGTATGCATTAGCAGGAAGGAAGAGCCAGGACTGACGCCAGGCACTCTGACATGGGATGCAGGCATCCTAAGTGACAGCTTCACCACTGCACCAGACCCCTGCCCCTGATGTCTAGCTGATGTCGGCCTAACTGCCCGGTGGAACAACAAGAATACTAGTGATGGCCCACAGTTTAATGGACACTTAGACTGGATCAAGAGCTGTGCCCAGTACTTTCAGGCATTCCTCGTTTTACGTTCACCATAGACCAAGACACTGAGTCTCCTAGTCTCTCAGGGGAGGACAGTGAGACTTAGAAAGGAATCATCCCAAACGCAGTTGATAGGAGTGAGATTGTAACAGTCGTTCTGTCTTTAGTGCCATTACTTGTGACCTCCGTGCTTCCGTCTGCGGGAACCGTGGAAATCCTCCCGTATTTGATCTTAGGGATTACTTGTTCCTGTGTACCCCTTGATCCTTTTGGTGTTATCTTCATTCTCTTCTAAATTCAGTCACACCTTCATGTTTAATTCACTAGGCATCTGGTGCCCCTCTCAACGTTTAAGTTGTAAGCATTTCCCAGGCTCGCTCCCTCAGTTACATCCCATTAGTCATTTCCCTTGTCTAGCAACTACTGTTTTCTCCATTAGGACCCAACTATAGGACATTGTGTAGCGAGACAGAGATACCAAGGCCAGGAAGCCGTCTTTTATTATGCCAGCATCAAGCCAGCTGGATTCCTACCCAGAAGGACTGAGCCCCAAATACGGGGGCATTTCCTTATGTATCTTGGTAGCTTTCTTTGTCCCCCACACATGGTTACACACATAGATTTCATTGGTTATTCTAATGTTACATGGCGGCTATAGGAATTGACACAATCCAGCACTTGCTTACATAGTTACTGATAATAGTTCACTAGTTTTTCTTTTATTAAGTCTTAGCTTTTAATTCCATTTTCTACTAGTGTATTGAAGCCCGCATGTATGTGCATGTACAGATGCATAGATGAAGGCCTGTAGGTTACGTGTGTCCCTGAGGGTAGTGGTGACTACCGGCCTGGGTGAAATTTGGAGACAAGCCGTTGGGGAGGGTAGCACAGGGAGTTTAGTATTTTTTTGTAAACACTTCATTTATTGGGACCAGTGGTGTGGCATAGTAGGTTAAGCATCTGCCTGTGGCACCAGCATCCCATGTGGGCACTGGTTCAAGTCCCAGCTGCTCCACTTCTGATCCAGCTCTCTGCTATGGCCTGGGAAAGCAGTGGAAGATGGCCCAAATCCTTGGGCCCCTGCACCCACGTGGGAGACCTGGAAGAAGCTCCAGGCTCCTGCTTTCAGATCAGCCCAGCTTCAGCTGTTGAGGCCATCTGGGGAGTGAAACAGTGGATAGAAGACCTCTCTCTCTCTCTGCCTCTGCCTCTGTAACTCTGCATTTCTAATAAATATATCTAAAAAATAAGATTTTATTTATTTGGGAGGTAGGGTTACAGATAGAGGAGAGACAGAAAGGTCTTCTGTCCGCTGGTTCATTCCCCAAATCGCTGCAATGGCTGGAGCTAAGTCAATCCAAAGCCAGGAGTTTCTTGAGGTCTCCCATGTGGGTGCAGGGGCCCAAGTACGTGGGCCATCTTCCACTGCTTTCCCAGGCCATAAGCAGAGAGCCAGATCGCTAGAGGAGCAATTAGGACACGAACTGGCGCCCATATGGGATGCCAGCACTGCAGGCAGAGGCTTAGCCTACTATGCCACAGCACCAGCCTGCTACTTTTTCTAATACTCCTAATATATCTACCACGCACATTCTGAGCTGTACACTGTCTGGCAAGGATTAGCATCATCACTCTGTCAGCAAGCATACAAAAGCTACAGTAGAAACACCGATAGACAAGCAGGTAATGACCACATTCCATTCCAGGATAAATTTCTCTTTTATTTTCTTTTTGACCTTGAGGTGACCTCTACAATTCCCTGTAGTAAGGTCTCCACGGTCTCTTTCTTCCTGGTCTCATTAGGGGCCAGTTTCCTGTACTCTCGTAGCACCAAAAGGCATCGGTTTTTGGAGCAGATGCCTTCTAGACAGTGCCATGATTGTATCCATCCCGCATTCTGGACTGAGAAGGTCTCTCCAGACCTCCAGATTGTCCTTTTAATGATGCGTGGGGACGAGGAATATAAAGTGATTGCAAACCAGGGTTGTAGACATGTAGAATCACAGTAGTTACCAGAGGTACTGTTTTCATCCTCACTTTTCTTGCTGAAGTGTTTGTCTGTCTTCTGTATTACCTCATTGAAAGTCCCTCCTTTGTCTATTGGATTCCCCTCAGGAGAGCCACAACATCAGACCCGAAAGCCAACCACTTTTCTGTCTGTCACATCTGAGGGAGGCTTGCTCCGGGGAAGCCTGACTCAGGGATCTTCAAGGGACTCCAAGTTGGGGCAACCTAGGGATCAGGAAGGGCTTCTGGAAATGCAGAAAAAGCCCGGGACAGGCTCTAGTCAGGAGACTGGTCCTGAGGAAATGAGCCTTGAAGATGGTGCTTTGAAGACAGCTGGTAATCTGCACTCCAGAGTGCTACAGGAGCCAGTCTTTCCAGGTGTTTTCCATGAACGTGACTCTCGGAAACCAAGGAGAGACATCTTGGTTCATGCAGAGGTGAACCCCTACAAATGCAAGCAGTGCGGCAAGGGTTTTAACAGGAAGTGGTATCTTGTTCGACATCAGCGAGTTCACACTGGGATGAAGCCCTATGAGTGCAATGCGTGTGGGAAAGCCTTTAGCCAGAGCTCAACCCTCATTCGCCATTACCTCATTCACACAGGAGAGAAACCGTACAAGTGTGTTGAGTGTGGGAAGGCCTTCAAACGCAGGTCGTACCTTGTACAGCACCATCCAGTGCACACTGGGGAGAAGCCTTATGAGTGCACTCAGTGTCGAAAGGCCTTCACGCACCGCTCGACTTTTATTCGCCATAATAGGACCCACTCTGGAGAAAAACCCTTTGAGTGCCAAGAATGTGAGAAAGCGTTTAGCAATAGAGCACACCTAATTCAGCACTATATCATCCACACTGGAGAGAAGCCCTATGACTGTGTGGAATGTGGAAAAGCCTTCCGATGCAGCTCAGAACTCATGCAGCACCAGCGGATTCACACGGGGGAGAAGCCCTATGAATGCACCCAGTGTGGGAAAGCCTTTCACCGAAGCACATACCTCATTCAGCACTCTGTCATCCATACCGGAGAGATGCCGTACAAGTGCATCAAGTGTGGGAAGGCCTTCAAACGCAGGTCCCACCTCCTGCAGCACCAGCGGGTCCATACTGAGAAACCTGGCAGTGCATAGAATCTAGAAAGGCCTTCACACACTGCCCCACATCTGTCAGAGTGGGAGAAAATGCATTGAGTGCAAAAGGTGTTGGGAAATTTGTTTCTTGGTTTTTGTTTTTAAGCTAAACACCCATGCAGTCACCTTGGAGAGAAATCCTCCAAGCGAGATAGATACAGTGAGATAGAACCAGCAGCTGCAGCTTGGTCCTCACTTGCGGAAGTCAGGAAAGGTGTTTTGTGGTTCACCAGTGGTTCTCCCTCTGTCACCGTTAGAGAGATCGTGCTGGGGAAAGAGACCCTGGGCATAACTACTAAGGATGGGCGTTAGTCAAAAGGAAAGTGTTGCTATCTGAGTGTTTGGTGATTGTCATTGCTTTAAGAAAACTGTGGTAGGCTATCAGTTACTTACCGTGGAAAAGGTCATACTAGAAGTTGACTCACTTTGAGATTTGCTCTATTAGCCATCTCAGTGTTATTTTTTTTTTTTTTTAAAGGAAAAGAGGGTGGAAACAAGCTATACAAGAAAAATGTGTCCTTAAAATTCTTTCATATTTCTTTGCCAAATGTAAAACCGCGGGCTGTTTTGTCTTTATTCTATACTGTTTTCAATTCGAGTGCTGGGGGCCTCTTTTAGGGATGAAAGGGGGCTATGGCCTGGGATAGCAAAAGATGGGCGCTGTGCTTGGGCCTCTGCATCTGTGTAGAAGACCTGGACGAAGTTCCTGGGAAATGTTCTTGGATCAACTCA